CAGCCGCCCGCTCACCTCGCCGTTGAGGCGGTGCACGGCCCCTGCAAGGGCGCAGGCGCTGGGCGCTGGGCGGGCGCTGCTGCGCGCCGGCCCCGCGCCCGCTCCGTACCTTCGGGCAGGCAGTGCCGCCCGTTGCCGTAGTAGGCGTCGCGGCAGCGGCAGCAGGAGCCGCTGGCGTAGCGGGCGCAGACGGCGTGCGGCGAGCAGCGCCCCTCGGGCYCCTCGCACGGCTCCTCGCCCGCCGCGCTGTAGGTGAACACTGCGGGCGAGCGGGCACCGCGGTGAGCCACGATGTGCCCGGCAAGGCCTAGGGACACGCTGGGGAGGACGCGCGCAAGGAGGAGGCATGCAAGGAAATGTGCAACGAGGAGACGTGCAAGGAACATACATGCAAGAAGGATGCGTGCAAGAAGGATGCGTGCAAGGAAGATGTGTGCAAGGAAGATGCGAGCAAGGAGGATGTGTACAAGGGAGGACAAACTTAAAGGAGGACCCATAAGAGGATGAACACAAGGGAGGATGTGTGCAAGAAGGATGTGTGTAAGAGGATGAACACAAGGGAGGATGTGTGCAAGAAGGATGTGTGCAAGAGAGGATGCGTTCAAGAATGATGAGGGGAAGGATGAGGTGTTCAAGGAGGATGCATTCAAGGAGGGTGAGTGCAGGGAGGATGCATGCAAGGGGGCCAGAGCATCACCCTGGAAGCGGGTGCACCACGGGCAAGGCTCCGAATTGCAGTGCGCTTTGCAGAGCAGCCCGGGCTCAGGGCTTGCACCAGCTCCACAGGTGCCAGGGCGCTCCCCGCTCCTCTCTGCATCACTTTGCCCCGGGCCCCGTGAGGCCGGGCAGCAGCCCAGCGCGTGGCGAGGATGCAGCGGGCAGAGGAGCCCGCCGGGCCGGGCCCCAGCGCCGCTCACCGTCCGCGCTGGCGCTCACGTCCTCCTCCACGCGCACACCGTGCTGCCCGTAGCGGTGCGAGCTCGGGCCGGCCGGGAGGCTCCGCGCGGCCTCGCCGGCCTCCGGGCCGCCCTCCTGCTCCTCAGGGGGCTCCAGGAGACCCTCGGCGGGCTCGGCCCCACTGGGCGCTCCGGGCGCCGCCGGCTCGTCCTGGCCATGCGCCCAGGCGCCCGCGCGCCGCCCGCCGCCCGCCGGCACCACGTTGGGCAGYGGCGACGCGCTGCCGATGCGGAACACCCACACGCCGGGCACCATCACGTTGCTCGCCCTAGGGGACAGCGGCCAAGCCTGGGGACACGGAGGGGCAGCAGGAGCCAGGCCCCAYGTGGCACCACCCTCCAACCAGGGTCCCCAAGCTCGGACCCGCTGTTGTGGCTGGAGACAGCGCAGTGGCACCTGCACAATACGCTTCAGGGCCACAATTTCTGGTTCCTCTGCCTTCTCCTGGCCTGTCTGCTAGGACTTTGGCTGGCCACACGCACCCATCGGTGGTGCCTGACACTGGCGAGATGCCACCACCCACCCCAGCCGCTGCCCTCATGCATGTTGGTGGACACCGTTGCCCAACTGGCTCTCCCCRAACCACCCAAGTCCCCTTCTTCACCCAGCGCCCTGACGGAGCCCTCCATGTGCTGCCTACTGGTAGAGGTGCTTCAAGGCCCCTTCGCTGCTGGCCACGCTGTAGAAGAGCCCGTCCCTCTTGGGGTCGTCRCCGTCGCCACGGCTGAAGCCCACCCTGGCCGGCAGCTCCAGGTGGACGTTGTAGGACTCTTTGGGCCGGGTCCCGAAGAACTGGAGGCCGTCGTCGGGGTAGAGGAAGATGGCGTAGGCGTCCGCTGCGTCGTAGGCCACCAYGGCCTGGAACGTGTTGAGCTGCAGGACAGGGAGGGCAGGACACGCCGCGTGCGTGACGGGGCAGAGGCACCGGCTCACGTCCCCATGGAAGCCACCACAGAAGAGTGGATGCAAACCCGGCACTGGGAACGTGTTCCTCAGACCCTGCTGCAGCCTATGGAGCTGGGGTGGACCCAGCCACACAGATGGGGTGACCATGGACCTCTGCCTGGCGGGATGTCTGGAGAGAATGCAGGCACCTCAGATGTGCCCAGCCTTGGTGCTCTCCACATCCCTCCCACAACCACCTCCTTATGGACCCGGCCAGTGCCCCCGACACCGGCAGCGCTTCCCCTGTCCCAGTGGCACCGCAGAGCAGCACAGCCCACGCTTCCCGGGGAGAGCAATTTAAGCTCCGTTTCCTCAGGAAAAAACAGGCGGGCGCCTTGCTCACGCCCGTACATCCCGCTATAGGCACCGGCACCAGCCCCGCGAGCACAACCCTAACGAGCCACCGGAGCATCCCCACAAAGCAAGCGGCTCTGGGCACCGGGAAAACATTGCACGGGGACCGGAGCTGCTTTTCCATGCTGAAATTCTGCATCCGCCTGGCAGAGATAATGGCACTTCCTGCCGCTCCGGTGCTTCGCCAGAGGCCGGAGGGGACCGGGAAAGCACTGCCGGAGTCGGGAGCTGGGGTGAGCGGGATTTGGGATGCACGAGAGGTTGTATGAAATGAAATGAAATGAAATGAAATGAAATGAAATGAAATGAAATGAAATAAAAAAAGAAATGAAAATAAAATAAAATAAAATAAAATAAAATAAAATAAAATAAAATAAAATAAAATAAAATAAAATAAAATAAAATAAAATAAAATAAAATAAAATAATAAAATAAAACAAAAGGGGTGCTTGGTGGGAGCACAAGCAGAGTGTGCCCTCTCTGGGGAGCTTCCCCTGAGCTGCAACACTGTCTTCAAAAGCCAAAAAGGGCAGATTCTGCCCCAAGTGGGGCAGATTTTGAAGCAGAAGGCCCTTCATAATAAACAAACTCTGTGTTTCAACTTCCCGGCTCCAACAAGCAGCAAATTCAGCCAAGAAAGCAAAAAGAAAAGTGGTGCTTGGGGAATTTTTTCCTGCAGTTTTCACAAAGATGATAGGTAAAAAAAAAAAACAGGAATTTTGCAGACAACGCACAAACTGACTTTCCGCCCTCCTTGAATGAAACTTTCCACTAAGTGTCTCATTTCAAAGCAAGACTTCTTTTTTCCCCCCTTCATTTTGGCTTTAAAGCATGATCCAGCCCTTTTCGCGAGGAAAAACAATTGCGTGGAGGACCCGAGGCTGCGTTTTTGATGTCTGCAAGGTCACCGGTGCCACTTCTCCGGTTGCTTTTCCCACTTGCCAGAGAAGAGGAAACACCTTCCGCCTCCRTCCAAACCCCTTGCCTGGCCGCACACCAGCCCCATGTGCCCTGGCCTTGGCTGGGGCATCTCCAAGTATTTTTGCTCCGGAGAGTTATTTTTTCACACCTCCTTTCCACCCCCAGTTCAATGTAAAGGAGGCCCCATATAAAATATGTATGATCTGTAGAGGGCCATCCCAAAGCCACATCTTTGCYGAGCTCCTCTGAGCTCAATTTCCATGCGCTCTGCCCATCCTAAGCTGGCAGAACGGTCAATCCTGGCAGCTCAGGGGGTTGCCTGGATGCTGTGGGAGCTCTGGAGCATCCTCACCCATTTGGCGCTGCTCCAAGCCTGGAGCAACCATCCAGCTGCCCAGAAGGAAGAGTTTCAAAGTGGTGGGTGGATGTATCCATCCTAAGGAAGATGTATCCATCAGGAAGCCCACACCAGCCCGTGGTGCTCACCTTCTTGGAGGGCTCTGTGCCTGGTGGGAGCTCCTCGTAGGCGCCCACGTCCTCCCAGGTGGCGAGGAAGGCGTTGGTGGGCGCGAAGGACGCGGCGGCCTCGGGGAAGCCGGCGCGGATGTAGCCGGCCGCCCGGTGCAGCACGTCCAAAGAGTCGTCCTGCCGGTAGTAGATGTTCCCTCTGCCGCCCGTGGTGTCCAGGTCGGCCAGGAAGGGAGCGATGGCCGGGAAGTCCGTGGGGAAATCGTCGTCCACGTATTGCGTCTCTCTGGGGAAATCTTGCGTGGAGATGACCCCGTTGGTGCCCACCTGCAGGGAGAGCGGTGCAGGGTGGTCAGGGAGCAGCCCCCTGCCCTGTTGTCCCCATAGCTGGGGCATTTCTGTCCCGGTCCCCCCGCCAGTGCCCCCGGAGCGGTGTGGAGGGCTGGGAGCCAAGCCTGGGGGAGGGAGAGCGTGCGGCCTCTTCCAAGGAGGAAACAAAGACCTTGGGCTTCTCAGTCCCCTGGAGAGCGGCAGCTCCCGGGCTGTCCCAGCTGCAGCCGCTCCGCGGAGGAACAGCTGCAAAGGAAAAGGCCCCCTTGTTCCTCCGGAGCCAGGGAACGCCAGAGGCAGGACGCACGGAGGGGGAGGGAGAGCGGAGGCCTGCAGGGATGGACGGAGAACGGGCACGTGGACAGGCAGGGAGGAAGGGGCTGCAGGGAGGCAAGGCACGTGCGGAGATGCAGGGATGGACGCAGAACAGGCACGTGCGGAGATGCAGCCCTGGATGGAGGAGAGACCCCCTTGGGGGTGCAAGGATGGGGCAGAAGGGGTAGGTGAGGAGGGGCAGTGATCGGGAGGAGGATGAGGAGCTGCTGTGGGGGAAAGGGTGTGAGCAGAAGGAAGGACAGACAGAGCGGCAGAGGGAAAGGCTGAGCGATGGAAGAAAGGAGGGATGGGAGGAAAGGAGCGGGATGGATGGAGGGATGGCCAGAAGGGGAGGCGGAGGGGCAGAGCGGGGCACGGAGAGGCGGGAGGCCACGGCATGGAGGACGGGCGCGCGGGCACTCACGTAGAGGCGGCGGGCGGCGCGGCCGTAGAAGGGCAGCTCGCGGCGCAGGGTCACGGCCGCCGAGCTCTCGTCGTCGCCGGGTCGCAGGCGCGCGTCGCCGCGGGCCTCGCCGTGGGGCAGCAGAGCCCCCCGGGGCAGCGCGGCCGCCGCC